GTCCCCGCTGCAGGAAGCATGAGGGATTGAAGGGAATCCCTGCCTTGAAACAGGGAGGTGGAGGGCAGAAGAATTTCCTTCCCAAGAGTGGGATGCAGCGATGAGGGCCTGAGTATGCCGAGGCTGGGCCCTGGGCATTTCAGGACCCAGGTCAGCGCTCCCTGGTGCTAGAGGCGGGGCAGGAGCTATTCCAAGCCTCCGGCCCCGCCTTAGAATCCCAGCACTTGAAGCTATCCATCATCCTCCCAGAGCATTGCAACTTTATGCCTACGCATAAAAACTGGAGGGACTCGTCAGAGTTTGCTGCCGCCGCCGCCGCTGCCGTTAGAGCGGTTTTAATTAGCTGCAGGATTTTAATGATCTGAAATCAAGAAGAACCCCATCTCAGAAGTAAAGCAGGCGCCGCACACATGGAAGAACTCGTCTGACAAAACAGATGGAGGTGTTGTTCTCTGGGGATTGGGCTGTGTGCTTTGTTTCGGTTGGAGCAAATGAGTTACTGAGGCCAGGAGGCTGAGGAGGGAAGCAGAGGTCAGTCTGAGCACCAGGGCAGAGCTGAGGTTCAGCCCCTCTGCCACCAGGGTGAATGCTCAGTGCCAGATTCAAGGTGACGGTAGTGCCTGGATCCATCCTCCTTGAGTTGCCATAGCAGCCTCTCTCCTGATGAGCAGCTTCTCCTGGAGCCCTCAGCAGGGAAGGAGGGACGTCATTGTTCGCTCCAGCCTGTGTGAGGAGGAGAGTGACTGGACAGAGAACTTTCCCGGTCCGGGGTCCACATACCATGTGGGTGCACCCATGGGCATGTGGCTGGATGCCTCCCATTGCCTAGTGGGTCATGAGGGTGGGTCCCCACAGTCAGAGGGGGTCCTCTGGTGACTGGGGGGAGCGTCTAGGCCTTGGAGCGGCCGCAGCCAAGTGTGTCCTTGGAGCCGTCCGTTCATCGGCCTGCCAGCCGGTCGCCACTAGAGGTGCATGTGTCTTGGCTGAATTCCCAAGTCCTTGCTTGTGCCTTAAGTGGATTTTCCGAAGAGACAAATTTTTAAATCAGATAAATAAGGAAATGGGAGGAATCCTTGGCCCTGCCCTGTGTCCCAGGAGGTGTTTACAAGATTAATTGGATTTCTTTTCTTACAGTAAAAATCGGTGACGCCGTTCAGTTCTCAGGAAGAGAAGCCGCCAGGAGGAGTAGGAATTGTGATGAGGGCAGGACCTTCTGGAAACTCAGGGGGCTGTTTATTTTTCTTGCCTGACCCTCTCCACTGCGCCCCCAGTTGCTTGAGTTTCCTTATTGTCTGCTGGTCTTGGAAGGGAGGCCGGGAGGCGGGGAGGTAGGGGAGGGGTCTCTACTTGTCATTGTTACAGAAGCTGATGCAGTACATTGGGAGGATGCAACAGTCCCAGAGAACAGAGGCCTGTAAATGTGTTTATGGGACTCCGAGCAGCCCAGCCCCAGCTGTGACAGATCATAGCGTCCACTCCCCAGGCAGCAGCTTGATCCCCAAGAGGCAGGGACAAACAACCTCCAGACCAGCATCTCCCCGTTGCCTTGAAAATAACCTGTGATTTTGATATCAAGGACTCTCAGAGGAACAATAGGGGAATCAGATGTGCACATTCTCTGGAGTGTCTGGTGGTGTGCTGCGGACCTCCCGTCTACCCCCCCACCTTTAAAGGAAAGAGGTTCTTATAGATTCTATGATGTCGTCCCCCTCCTGGGGCACCGCAGACCCAGCCGGACTGCTAACCAGTTACCCAGGAGGGTAGTCATGCTAACCTTTTGATTTCCGTTTGCACAGAGCAGGGAGTTAGCTGGTGAGATGGTCTCCAGTGAGAGCAAACACTGACAAGAGGATCCCAGGGCAGGGGCGGTGTTGAGGCTGGGGTCTGATGCTTAGTTAGGGGCTACGCGACTCTAACTCCAGGTCCTGGGCATGGAGAAGGTGCTTGTATTCTCTCCGGCACCAGCAGAAGAGGGGATTTCTGAAAAGAAAAATGTAAACGGTTGGCACCCCTGCCACAGTGAAGGTGCCGGCCCTAGGGCTATGTCCTCTCCCCCCGCCCCCACACACAGATTTGGGGGCAGGGATGTGGTCCTCATCCTAGCTCCCAGGCACACAGGCTGTCGGAGCCTGGCTCCATGAGGTAGGTTGGTTCGGGCAAATTCAGAAAATGGGGCAAGGAGTCATGACTGCAGGACAGGAGAAGTCCGTACTGGCTCGAATGGTGACCGTGTGACAGTAGAGGAGACTGACCAGCTCTTCTGTAGTCACTGCTGCAGCACCTGCTACCGTGCAAACAATGTGATGATGATCACAAGGGCATACGAGACCTCTTTTTTCATCAAGAGTTTTTGGGCTGAGGTTGGGTGGCACTTTATTAACTGTTTTACCAGGTAGCTATGTGCTCTAGTTGTTAACTTGCCATCCTCCCTCCTCCTCCCTCCTTCCTCTCTCTTTACCCTCCTTCCTCTTCCCTCCCCCTTCTTCCCTCCTTCCCTTTCTCCTTCCTCATGAAATGTTCTGACATCGGAGGTCACCCTAGATCAGATTGGCCTTCTGGCCTCGTGTTCGACTTGGGAAGCTGGTGTGACCATGACCAGCATAATCAAGGCCTCTTGGCAATTTCCTTACAGCTGGGGTCTTGCTGGGGACCGTCAGCGGTGTGCATTGCAGATGCTCGCCAGTGTGCGCCTGGGCCTGTGTGTCTGCACGTTAGTGCATATGCATCTGCTCCAGAAAGGCCTTGAACTGCCTCCCCTACTCCCCATCCGAGGGTCTTATCCCCACTGCATCATGTGTAATGTCATTCTCACTCTTTCAACTCTTTTCCATGACACCTTGGGAATCCTGAGGGGTTAAGTCAACTGCTGGGGGTGGAGGGCAGAGTGAGGGTGGGAGAGAACAGCTCCGCCTCCCCTATCAGTAGCTCACACTTCCTCTGGACCTCAGGCTGGCCCTGGTGGGCCCTGCACACATTGCCTCAGAGACCACAGGGCACTGGGCATGTTGCAGGCAGAGTTGAGAGTGGCCTTCTCCTTCAACACAGCCTGGGGCCTGCACTGGCCTCCAGAACAGTCCCATCCAGGGTAGCCATAGAGGAGGAGGCCAAGGCCTCACGTGAGACACTTTAGGGCCTGAGCCATTGAGAATGTGTGTCTGCCCGTTTTCACCCACTGCAGTCCCAGGGCAGGGGGTCCCGGCGATGGCAAGGAGCAGCAGTCTTTCTCTGAAGTGGGGTTCAGTGCAGTGAAGTGGGAGCCAGCCTGAAACCCCAGAGCCAGCTCCAGAAAGAAAGCTGAGCCTGGCTGAAAGAAAGCTCAGTGCTGCCTCCCAAACATAAAAGCTGGGAGGTCGCGGGAACCACCTGCTCAGCACGGCCCAGAGAGCCCGGTGTTCATGCGCGTTCCGTGCGTAGAGGCCTGAGGCAGGTTAATTAAAGTTAACTGAGTGAAAAAATAATTACAGAGACTGCAGAAGAGAGAAATCCAAACCTGCAATTTAACACTCAGCCCCAGAGCTTTCCAGTCCCGTCCTTGGGAATTTCTGTCTGGGCAGGAAGGGGGCGGAGCTCCTCTTCTTATCACCTCCTGGCTCCTGCCCCGCAGTCCACCCAGATGCAGAGAGGCAGGAACTGGGGCTTCCTTCCCCAGCCCCCCGGGGGGCCAGGTCGGGAATGGGCTCCCTGCACCTAAGGAGATCCCAGCAGGGAAACGTCCTTGTGTCCAGCAGCACATCTGACCTGGTGCCCGACCCGCCACCCTCCTGTGGTCTCAGAGGCTGTTGGGAGCTGCCCACTTGCTCAGCCTCCCTCGGGCACCGCCCTGTGCCCGGATGGGGAAGCCGGGGCTCCTTGAGTAAAGAGAGGATGGTGTCCCTGGCCCCGCACTGGTAAGAACAGGTGAAAGAGGACAGAGTGACCCTCCTCCAGGCCATGGCCTGGGACACCTGCCCCTCTGGCACCACCTCCTGTGCAGGTGACTCTTAGCACCACCCTACTGCAGAACTGACAGCCTTCCTTTGGGCAGATGGCCTTGGGGTGCCCCCATCTTTGACCCACGGCCTGGTCCACCTGGGGTCACTGGTTGATATCGGGGTATTTGCAATTTCTTTCCCTTCAGGAGGAACAAGGGTGGGGGGTCAGTCATGTGAGCAAGCCCTGGATCTGCAGTGGCCACAGCAATAGGAGCCCATCTGCAGGAACATGAGGAAGTTGGTTCCAGCCTTTGGGCCTCTGGGCCTGGAACTGGTCAGACGCAGTCTGGCTGCTCTGCCTCAGCCTCTGGCCTGAGGGCCTGAAGATCCCCCAGTCTGGCTATAGCTTCAACTTCCACTAGCACAACTATCCAGTGGGGCCTTGATCCTGCCAGCCCATCAACCAGTCTGTCAGGGAGGGACAGCGTGGGCTGCTACAGGAGAATGGTCAGGTTGGGGCATTGACAGCTCTGGGCCTGGGAGGCTCCTTCTCAAAGGCTCCCACTCCATGGACACCCTTGTCTCCAGCATCCCGTAGAGGATGGGGCCAGAATAGAAGAAGATCTGAGGCCTTCTCTGTCCACTGGGCCAGTTGCAAGGGACAAAGACCTGGATTCTTGCCTATGCCTAGAACCCACCATGGGGTGCATGCTTGCTCGTTTAGAGGCTCAGAGAGCTTCGACAGTGCAGGGGGTGTAGCCGCTGTCCCTGGCTGTAGGTCCCGGAGCTTTACACTGGGCTCCCCCAGGCAGATGCCAGAGCGTCTCTCTCTATGGTTTTTCTGTGGGTGCCAATACAGGAGACCCTGGAGGGAAGCTGGTGTCTCAGCCACAGGTCACAGTGACTGGTCTTCCCTCAGCCTGCTTTGGGCTTGAAAATGTGGAAGGGACATACCTGAGTAGGTTCTGAAGGGTGGAGGGATCCAGGGATTACACATGGTCACGTGCAGTGGCTGGTGCCTCAGCCCGCCCAGGAGGCCCTGTGCCTCGGTGATGGACCATCTTTCTCCCCCTCTGCCCCGTAGACTGTGGCCTGATGGATGCCTGGTGTGGATGATGAGGGAGGAACTCGCCTCCCACACCCAACAGGTGACCCCGGAGCGAGGCCCAGATGACCCTGCGGACTGGAACAATGCGGCTGGCCTGCATGTTCTCATCCATCCTGCTGTTCGGAGCTGCAGGCCTTCTCCTCTTCATCGGCCTACAGGACCCAACAGAGCTCACCCCTCAACAGGTGCCAGGTGAGCTCTCACACTTGGCCCCATCGCCTGGCTTTCCTGCCCAAGGTGCAGGCCTCTACCCTTCCCCGGTGCCAGCTTTGTACTGAGATGCCTGGCAGGCAGAGGAGGGGTCATGGTCTCCTCCTGGGGGGCTTCAGCCTCAATATGGGAACATTATATCTGATGTCAGACCAGCAGCCTTAGGGTTCTGACCTCTGGCCCATGCACCTCTTTTGGGAATGGTAGCCAGACTGCCCATCTCTCAGCCGGTTATTGCCTTTGGTGAAACTCAGATTTAAGGAGGATTTTGCCACCTCTCAGTGTCTCTTCCGTATGATCTGGGACATCAGAGGGTGAATGATTTCTCCCTGAGCCCATGCCAAATGGGATTCTTTCTTTGCCCAGCTCTGGGGACCCCTCGAATCCAGCTCCTCCAGTGTGAGAAGAAGGATTTGGGGAACCTCTTGGCTTTGTGAGGCTGAGACTGCCCCTACTGGTGCTCCACCTGCTGCCTCCTACCCCACCTGTCCCTGGTGACCCACAGGAGGGGCAGCCCCTCCCTGACTGGCAGTGGTCTGCTGCGGACAGGGGGGATGGCAGTGATGGGAGAGCAGGAAGATGGTTCTAGAGCCTTGGGCAGATGGAGAGGGGAGCTTGGACAAGGTGCCTGCTGCCAGTTCACAGCCCTTCCCTTCCCAAGAGAACACAGCAGGGCTAGAGGGCAGCGGGCATAGGGCCAGGGCTGGGGTCACTCCGCTTTGGAGTGAGAGGAAAGCACTGTTGACAGGCCCAAGGACCAGCATCTCTCAGCAGTGGTCCTGGGGGCCTTGTTAGGGGAAGGTCCATGGAGACACCCATGTGCTCTAGGACATGGACAATATGAGGGAGGAGTGGATGCTGGGGGCCTAGCAGAGGGTTTCTGCACCATCCCCACCAGCAGCACATAGCACACACAGGAGAGCAGAGCACAGCCTGGGGCCACCTGGCCCTGGGACAGGGACACAGGGTCCTCAGGGGTGCAGCCTCCTCCCAGCTTCTTCTCAATGCTGGCTGGCTCACACTCTCAGGGTAGAATGTGGGCCTAGAAGCCATAGATGGAGAGGCAGAAGGAGCACGAGGAGTCCAGAGTTTGGGCCCCAGGCCTGGCAGCTGCTACCAGAAGCCCTGGTGAGGGAGACCGATGAGTTGATTCTTTCCCCAGAGTCATTGAGAGGTAGCCAAGGCCGTGGGCCCCAGGAGACGGCAGCCAGTCATTGGTGCTGACTCATACCTAGGCTGGACCCTCACAGATGGTGGCTGTCACAGTGAGTCTGGCTGCTCCCCCACTTCCAAAGAAGCAAGGACGAGTGACCAGTATGGCTCCTCTGTGGGGACTTCGCAGCCTCGCATGAGCCCTAGAGTGGCCAGCGACACTGTGTCAGCAGAATCAGGCTCTCCAGGGCAGTGTCGTCAAGACAGTCGGAGAGCTGGCCCTGCAGCTGTGTCTTATCTGCGCAGAAGCAAGCTCCTGAAAGAAGGCCTCAGCTTGGTGTAAATGGTGCCTGTGTATCTTTGGTGCATGTCTTGGTTTTGTGTGTGGTTAGGTGCACACATGGGCAGAAGGTCCTCGTCATCAGTATCTGCGTTCCGTGGGACCAACCTGGGAGAGAAAGCACAAATGTGTCTGTGGCGTCCAGCTGGGACAGGGGCCATGCCCCCATCCACGGTACACTCTAGGGGCAGGTGTTATATCCCTGGGTGGAGTTAGGTCATGTGCCACATGCTGTGCCGTAGCCAGCTGGCGAAGCAGAGCACTTGCTCTTCACATCTTCTGTGGGTAGTGGACTCCTGCCCCTCATGCCGGCCAGCATAGCCCTGCACCACTGCGCCAGTGCACATCTATGTGGGATTCCTAGGGTGGAATGGCGAGCAGGGAAAGGAGTGCAAAGCCTCGGGTTGGCAGGGTGTGTAGGACGGATGGAAGCCGAAGCCAGCATCCCTATAGCCATGGACCCCGTGGGCCCGACAAGAGCAGGCAAGAAGCACTCTTGGGTCTTGAGCTGTGTTCTCTTGGCTGTAAATGGAGCTCTACCACCCTCACCACGTGCCAGGTGATGGGCAACCTTGACACTCTGCGTAAATTACATCAAACACACTCATAAAACTTTAAATAATGCTTACTTTACTTTCCCTGAGCAAAGTGTTCCTGACACAGGCTGTTTGTGTTGATTTGTTACTATTCATTTATTCTTTCCCTGTACTTCTCACAGCAGCCTAATTGTGATTCGGTACCAAGAAAGCAATATCAAAGTAATTTTCCACAACATTAGTTACAATTTTCTTCTGATCTTTCAAGTGAAACAATCCCATCCTGTTGGCTTCTCTGAGCACATAAACCTTGATTACATTTATCTGTTGGAAACCAGTGCTAACAAAGTGTATATATCCAGTTGTATGGGTGGGTGGCCCCAAAAGCCCCAGACGGGCCTTCTCCCTGTGGATTTCTGCCTGTGGGAGGTGCAGACGCAGGAGTGTGCCCTGCCATTGGATCAGGCAAGGCCGCTGGGGGTGGCCATCTACAGAGACAATTCTGCGAGCTGCTCTGTCTTTCACAGCGGCAGAGAGTTCACTGGGAACTGCTGTTGCTGGTGCCAACCAAAGCGGGAGTGGGAAGGCGGGCAGGTGAAGATTTGGAAACAAACTTGCAAAGGCCGTCTCTTGGTCTCCTGTAGTCGGAGGTGTCATTCAGACTTCTCTCACGCAGCTACCAGGTGTTAACAGCACCTGAACTTCTCGGGGACCAGTCAGCAAACCTCACCTGGCTCGTGCATTAGATGCGATCTTATGGGGTTGCCAACTCTTATAAATCAAACGATATTTTCAAAAACGTTTGCTATATTTAAGTCAAAACTTTTGAAACGTGAATCACTGCCAGTTAACCTACCTTCATTAGATTAGATTTTCTTGTGTCTCAGAGAAATCCCCTGTCCAACTCCTTCCCAGCTTCCAATACTGCCAGGCCCTGACGCTTCAAGAACCGCACTTTTTGACCCAGGAGACTAGCCTGGCCTCTTCCCTAAGCAGAAGATTCAAAGAGCATGCCAGAACCGGGAATGACACCTCCTGACGTGCTAGCCCCTGGAAAGGCGGAAGATAGGCTCCATACCTGTGGCTGGGCAAACTGAACTTTTATGAGCTACCTTCCTTTATGTCGTTTTTATTACAGAGAGTTTGGAACACACACAGAAATAGATTAGAACAGTACGGTGAACCCCATGTACTCATCACACAGCACCCCCAATATGGTCAGGCTGGGCCCATCCATTGCCCTCCTTCTGTATGATTTCGAAGCTTATGCCAGATGGAATATCAATTTAGCCACAAATATTTCAATATATTTCTCAGTTTAAAAGATAAGAACTTTTTTTTTTTTTTAATATTCAACAATTTCCTATTATCATCAGATATCCAGCTGGTGTTCAAATGTCTCTTCATCTCACAAATATTTTAAATACCTTTATTTCCCATTTGTTGTGATCAGTACCCAGATAAGGCCTACACACTGCAGTCGGCTGGTGAGTCTCTAAATCTCTTCCATCTATAAGATTTCCTCTCCATCTTCTCTCTTGCTATTTATTGAAGGAAACCAGGTCACGAGTCCTGTCAAGTTTCTCACAGTCGGGATTTTCGCTTTTTTGTGTCCATTTGGTATAGTTCAACATTGTCTTCTGTTCTTCGTATTCCTTATAAATTAAGTAAACTAGCAGTGCGATCAGATATAGCTTGGGTTTTTCCTTCTTTCTCCAGTCAGAATTCACATGTGGTCCCATGTTCTCCCATCAGGAGGCACACATCTGCCTGGCTCTCTTACGTGATGTCGGCCACTCACGATGGCGCCTAGATCCATCCCTTCGTTAAGGCTGCACAATGCGATGTTCTGATTTTATCATTTCTTCTTCATTCTCTAAAGTGGGATGGATTTTGTTTTAATGGGGTAAAGTGAGTCATTGTTAGTGACCCGTGAAGCCAAAGTAAACGGTGGATCGATTGGTTTATTCGTTGATACATTTAAAAATGTGACTTTATGATATAGATTCTATTGCTAGTACACTATAAATAGTTTTTATTTAAATGTTTGGTTTTTGCAGAGTGAGTTTTCTGAAAGCGGGGCCACCCCACGTTTCCGTGATATAACTGCTCTCTCGAAGCTGTGCAGTTGTGGGTGGCGGTGCTGGGGATTGGGGCTGGTACTGGCTGTCAGGTGGGAAGGCAGCTATGATGATGACAGAGGTTGCCTGACCAGGGGCCCCAAGTGCAGACAAGGGGCTGGACAGCCCTGATGACTTCCTGGTCTACGGCCTGCCCCAAGGCGTTCCTTCCAGGGCACAAGGGCATCTGCCGGTAATAATAATAACAAACATCAATCAGGCATTTACCACGTGCCAGGTCTTATGCTAAGTACTTTACATGTTTTAATGCATGTAATTCTTATAATCAATGATTATTCCTATTTACAAATGAGATGCCAAGCACTCCCTAGTGTGGACGCACAAACAGCAACACTGCTGATGTTGGCACACACTCTCAGGCACTCACCTTGTGCCAGGCACTGTCACAGCACTTTACACATATCTGGCATTTGTTTAATACTTACAAACATCATGAATTAAGTACCATTACACTGTCTGACACACGAGACTGCTGAGGTAAGAGTGGTTAAGTGCTGTGCTCAAGGCCACACAGCTTTGGGCTTCAGAGCCAGGATTTGTCCCTACGCAGTTGGCTGTTGCCCACTGCACCTACTGCCTTCCCAGTAACTGATGCTCAGTACTGCCTGGTCTGGGCCCAGAGCAGAGCCTGGGCAGAAAGAAGAGCATGGGTCAAGGTTCGGAGGCGTGAGAGAATGTGGCATGGCAAGAACTCCTGGTGATTAGGGGCTGGAGTGCAACCTGCGGATCTAGACTTGTGGCTGAAGACACAGCCAGGCAGGGGCCTGGGGACCCCTTGCAGCATTGCAGAGGAGCGAGCCTTTGCTGCAGGGG